TCTTCCTTCAGGAGGCCCACCAGCATCTTTGCTCCCTTTGGAGTCACAAACCACAATTCAACTCCATTGAAAGAAGAAGGATTCACCTGCCCCAGGCAGGGCCTCACCCCATGTCCTATTCTGAAATCTGTCAGGGCTGGCTCAGATGGTGGAAGGTGGGAAAATCTGTTCCCTTCAGGGTAAATTCCACTTTATTCCCACCCTCCTGGATAGGGTCTGCCTCCTGCCCCCAGGGTCACAGCAGGACAATGACCTAAGAACCCAATTAACCAACAGCCCTACCTCCAGATGCTCAGAGTTTTTAAGTCCAAGCAACACATGGGATGTGGCCTGGGAATATTACGCCTCTGTTGAAAAGTGCGTAACTCTGTCGTATTCATTCTCACACTCTCTCCTTCATTGGGGGGTTAAAATTGAACTGGAACATCTCTTCTAGAGACCCAAGGCCAGTGCTCCAGACCATCTGTGATGATTGGCTTGAACAAGAGGACCCACAGTCTCCCCTCCCATCCCCACCCCCGCCCCAGGCAAGTAGGTGCCTAAAGAGAATCAGGTCTACCCAAACAGCTCCAAAGCAGCACAGCAAACGAAATATCAGCCAGGTCCTCATGCCCTGAGGGATTCTCTCACTGCCCCCTCCACTCCCCCACCCCCAAAAAGAGCTTCCTCAGGGTGGAGCGGCACCCATCCCACCCCTGCCATCGTCAATTCTCAAAGTACAATTACAGTAATCTTTCTGCAGAGAAAGTCAGGTGATCTTATCTCTAACTTGCCCTCCTCAGGGGGACTCTGACACCCACAGCCTGGCTGAAGTTTGCAATGACCTGGACTGACAGTTGAGATGCAATTCCTCGCCCCCCCACCCCCACCACCTTGCTGAACACCGGCTCCCAGCCCTCTCCTCTGTTTATAGCCCCACAGTCCCCAGTGCTCTTGACCCTGAAAACTGGACACCTCACTCCCTCCGCACTTCCTGTTCTGTGCTCAAATGTCTTCCACCTTCACCATGACCTCATGACATCACATTTTACCATACTTTATTTTTTTAAGGACCTCCATGGCACAGAAAGCAATGGACTGTAACCTCTGGTTCTTAATATACTCCAAGAATAGTCTTCTTTATTTAGTTTGCCAATTATTTGGATAATGTAACAGGATAATGCCTTGACATCATGGTCTAAAAGGTTCCTCACCACCCCCAACCCTTTCTTTTGCACCCCTACACCCAGGTTAATCCTTACCCTAAAACCTATGCTCACCCTTTCTTTGCTTATCTTTGGACACGGATTTATTACACCTATATACATTCCTTCCTGTGAATACACTAAAATTCATTTGTTCATCTACTCTCTGGATGAGGCGAATTTCTGTTGTTTCTAGGGTTTTGCTGTTTTTGACAGTGCTGCTATGAACATTTTTTATCTATCTGTTAGAGCATGTGTGGGAGAATTCCTACATGCCCTAAGGGTGGAGTTGTTAAGTCTCCTGGAAATAAATGGAGATCAACAAGAACAAAGTTTATTTATTCAGAGCTCACTACAGCAAAGGGATTCTGGCTTGCATTTTGGCAGAGGCTTTCAGGTGGAAAAGGAGAGGCTCCCAGTGTGCCCTGATGGGAGCCTGTGGCCGGAGGAAGGTGGAGGTGGGCTAACTAGCAGCAGGGCATCCTATGTGACTGGTTGAAGGGGGGCATATCTGGCTCTCTCTAGTTGGTCCTAAGTTGCAAGCAGGGGAAGAAATCTGGGAAGCTGCCAGTGACTGATCAGGTCCTGACCAGTTGGGGCTGATTATTACAGGATTTATTACTTGACTTCCTGGATTGTTTGCTGGAGATAATGATCAGGTTTCTGGAAATCTGACCTGCAGGTAGAAGATGGGCTGCCTGCATAACTTGCTTAGATAAAGGCTGGTTTCCTGCCTGGTTGCTGCTGATTATAGGTGAGAGTTCTGTTTTTGTATATGGTTTGGTCATTGACCATTTGTATGTTCTGTCTTTGGTCTCTAACATACCATATGATATACTCATTTCCTTAGTGTTATTATCTCACTCCCACAACTAGGATGTTAGGTCTATGAGAATGAGACTTTTTATATGTCTTGTTCACTGATGTACTCTTAGTGCCTAGAATAGTGTCTAACACCTTGTAGTTACTCTCTATGCATTTGTAAAATCAGGAAATATGGTGTATCTATAAAAATATCATGCTGCTGGTGCCAATGTCTTATTTCCCTGTATCCTCAAAAGTAAACATTTATCACTCAGACCTAAGCTACTTCCGTTAGTGCAGGAATGCTCCCAGCCCTGGATTGTTTTCCTGTGTCCCGCCATGCCCAGGAGTGTCTGTCCGAGTTGGTGATCCCCAGTGGTACGTGAAGCAATCTATTTCATATTATTTCCTCGTTCCTTTGATGTACACATTAGTGTGAAGGCTGGCAAGTGGTAACAAGTAATGCCCCTCCCAGCAGACAGTATCACCCACCATCCTTTGGGTGTCTGTGAACACAGACTTGCACCAGGCAGGAGGTACCCATTTCTGCTTGAATCCTGTGAACCCCAGCAGGGCCTCATCGGAAGCATCCCCAACACTGGAATTTGGTGTGTGCTTTTCCCTTGCTCCTTGTGCTGGGGTCTCCTGCTGTTCTGTTCAGGGCAATGTTCTGAAGCAGTTACTGTCTTTGAGTACTTCTTGGATGGAAGAGAAAGAGAGAGGACCCGAGATCTTGTGGGCTGCCTGAAACGTTGAGCTGCGCCCTTCTGCCCCTGGCTCTGTCCCTTGCTTTCCACAAGAAACAGATTAAGTAGAAAAGTCTAAAGTGTCATTCATATGAAAGGGTACTGCACTCTGAATGTGGGTTCATCAGTTACATACATTGTGTGTGGTTTCGCCTTCAAGGGACACTGAGACATGTGGTCTGAAGACAACCCATTATGGTGTTTTAAAGATTTTATTTATGTAGAAAAAAAGAAAGAATGAGTGGAGGGAGGGGCAGAGGGGGAGAGAGAGGGGGAGAGAATCCTCAGGCAGACTCCCTGCTGAGTCCCACCTAGGGCTGGATCTCCTGACGCTGAGATCCTGACCTGAGCAGAAATCAAGTCAGATGCTTAACCCGCTGAGCCATCCAGGCATCCTCTCCCATGGTGACATTTTAATTTTTCAGTCCTTATAGTATATTTTGATATGACAGAATATAGTCTAAGTGAAGAAAGTGTTTGGGTATCTCACAATATCTACTAATAGATTTATTCTCTTGTGATCACACTAGTATTTTGTGACCACAACCTGACAAAGACACAGTTAACTAGTACTGGTGATGGAATAAAAATTCTCATTAATATGCAGTCAGATTTTAGGTTGTTAATAGGACCAGACAGAAATAACTAAAACCTAAATAAGTACGCATTGCTTTAGGTATTAAATTTCCCCTGACTGTAGACACCGAGATCAAAATCTTACAGAAAAGTGGGATCCGGAGGTGGAAAGAGAGTGTTGATACAGTGTTGCCCGAATCTTTTTGCTGGCTTGCAGAGGAGGATAGTTGAAGCCACCAAATATGACCATCGTATGAAAACCTATTAATGACAGATTACTCATTACTTACTCCAAACCCATCTTAAACAAACACCAGGGGTCTTACTTTGATGGGTGTAATCACATCCTTGGGTGAGACACCGTCGAGTAAGGACAAGAGAGGAGACATTGGTGAGACTTTGAATATCAGTTTTATGTGGTTTATTAGGAAAATCATTGTCTTAGGTTTACAGAAACAGAAACTAGCAGAGATTTGGAATATAGAAGTCATAAAAAGAGGAGGAAAGGAGTAGAAACACATATTTCAGCGGTCACATTTCAAGAAAGGATAGCATTAACAATCATCACTCTATTTTGTTGGGCTCACACTTTGGTGATGGATGGGGGATTGTGTTGGTGTTTTCCATTTAGAGGCAGGATCTCAGGGACCAGGCGATCTGTATTAAACTCCTTAGCCTGATAACCAGTGTCATGTCACCCTTGGTGACATTCAAATCCGGGAGGACTGTCAAGAAGAAAGAAAATCTTATTAATGGGACAGTTACCTGCAGCATCTTCCCAGAAGCCAGCCGGCCACCTAGCAGCAGCATTGCTTCTTGCAACAACACTTCTGCTGGCAACAGCACTTCCGCTGGCAACAGCCCTTCCCACCGCCGCAGCCACATGAGCCACAGCCACACGAGCCACAGCCACATGAGCCACAGGAGCGGCGGCAGCAGCAGACCACGGGGGTACTGCAGCAGCCCCCGCAGCAGCCGCAGCAGCAGGGGCAGCAGGCGGAGCAGCAGCCCACACGGTAGCACCTGCAGGTGGTGCAGCTGCCACAGCCGCCACCGCAGCCGCCACAGCCGCCACAGCCACCACAGCCACCGCCGCAGCCACCGCAGCCACTGCTGCAGCCACCGCAGCCACCACAACTTCCACAGCCACAGCACCCCATGGTGTCAGGAGAGTAAGGACTCAGGAGAGGTGAGGATGGAGACTCAGGAGGTGAGGGAGGTCTGATGCCGCCTTCTGCTGGGGGAGCCCCTTATATACCCAATCTGGGGGTAGGGACAGTGAGACACATGACCGCTTCACTATGCTATTTAGTTCAGTCATCATGGGAAAAATCTCATAATCTATTAATTACTTCCTTTTTTGTGATGTTGGCTGGATTTATTAGGTTATTTGTTTATTTTTCTAAGTCAAATAAATGCCCTAAAAATTCCAGCAAGGGCTCCTGGGAGCCATGGAGAAGGGGATGCTGTCAACAGCCACGGACATGCTAAGAAAGCCCACACAGCATAACATCCTGGGGCTGAACCAATGGGCTGACGCACAGCGACAATGAACATCAGGAAGGGGGCTTTTTCCGTGCCCAGCCCAGAAGTCCTCTTACCAAAGACTGGAGAAATAAAAGGAGCATCAGGCTGAATGTCCTTGATGACTGCAGAATCAGCCTTGCTACCTTCATCAAAGATGTTTACCAAAGAATGAAAGTCTCACTCCCTGCTACAGAGCCGTCCAGCCGGCCACCGTGTACTGCTGTGTAGTACCTTTCACCTTGGGAGGCTGCTTAGAAAGCACAAGTAAATATTTGCAACGGCTCCTCTTTTATGATTTCTATCACATTCAAAATATGAAGACTTTTCCTAATTACAACAAAACATGAATCTGAGTGCTTGGCATATCAAATGCAATCTAAGAGGAAACTACCTGAAAAATGGTATGCCCGCGATGGCAGGCAGATGAAGAGAAGTACTTTAACTATGTGCATCTCTTTTTAAATTCATATTCAGGGTATATTTGAAAGCTACTGACATGACCCATTTTGCCTGTTTCCTATGGTCTCCTAGGGGTGGCCATACACTCAGCCTTAGATCCTGTTCTAAAACATACACCAAATAATGGCACAAAATGGTCCATCACGAACCTCCCAACACAGAACATCATCTATGCCAGGGGCTGAATGCTTCTTTATTACTGAGACGTATTTTTTTTAGGTGAGTCTCAGGTGACTATATTGCTTTGAAATGATAGCTGAGAAAATTCTTTGGAAAATACTTTGGGAAGATAAAGCAGTGGTAAGTGTTCTTAACCTTGGTGGCACCGACATTTTGAGCCAGACAGCTCCTTGTCGTGGGAAGTGTCCTATGTATTCTAGGATACTGAGCAGCATTCCTGGCCTCTGACTAATTATGGCAAACTCTCTCCCAGTGATGACAACCCAAATGTCTCCAGACATGGACAAAATAGCCCCCCATTGAGATCCAGAGCGCTACCAAAATGTAAGGGAAATATCCCATATCCTAGCACTTGGGCAAAGGAGGCAAGTTCAGAACTAGCCCTTGAAGTCCGCAAAAGGATTTTGTATGAAATTCTTCTCTCTTTTTAAATTTTTAGAGAGAACCCCCGGGACATATGATTCAGAAGGGGTGAAATAGGTGGGGTGGCTGGTGAGTGAGGCCGGGGAGGGGCTCACCCACGCTGACTGATCCCTGCCACAATACTGACAAGAGGCCAGAGCTCAAAAAATGGTTGTTGGATGGAGTTACTTGATTTGTGCTCTCATCACTTTCTTTTGTGTCAAATACCACAGGGAGGCAGGCGGTCAGTAGTAAGAAAAATCACAGGAAATGCTAGTGATGCCAACAGAATGAAATCCTAGCCCCTTTTAAAAAATGAAGTAGAGCACAGCACAAAATCAAAACAAAGCAAAAAGCCACATGAGTCTCTGCTGTTTTGCCTGTCAGCACAACCCAGCATTCTATCTTTCACCCCCGCAGGAGGGGGAAAAGGGAATACAGAGAAAGGCTATGCTTGGTGAGGGAAACAGGTGGGCAACTTTGTTGAAGAAGCAGGCTTCCCTCCTGACTCCTGGTTGCACAAACATGGCTGAAGAGACAGGAAGCCAGGCAAAGGGGCCTGGGGACAAGAACTTTGTATACTATGCTGTACCCCCGGGAGCTCAAAATGGTTTCCAAGAGACCTTGGTTGCAGGGAATAGAAAGGTAGTGATCCAAGAAATAGGAAAGAGGCTATAAAACCAGAGCTGGGAGAATGCTGTGGACAAATCTACCATCTTGGAACTTTGGCCTGGGACTTATATCCCATGCCTCCTTCCCCCTCTGTTCCTGTTGCTAACAGGCTGGGTAAGAAGACCCTATCTTTTCCAAGATCTGCCACTGCGTCCTCCTCAGTGTCATTTTGGAAACCTTCAGTGTGATAAGATTTTGGGGCCAAATTCCTTTGCCTGATCACATCTGTCTTAGTTTGGGCTGCTCAAACACAATACCAAACACTGGGTGCCTTATAAACACTCACAGTTCTTGAGGCTGGAAATCCAAGGTCAGAATGCTGCCATGGTGAGTTTTGGTGAGACCCCTCTTCATGGTTGCTGACTTCTAGATGTATCTCCACATCGTGGAAACAGGAGGCGAGAGCTCTCTGGGGTCCCTGACTAAGGGCACTAATCCCATTCATGAGGGCTCCACCCTCATGACCTGATCCCCTCCCAAGAGCCCCCCTCCTAATACCATCACAATGGGGGATAGTATTTCAGCCGATGCATTTTGGACTCACCTCCCACCAATCTTTCCCTTTCTCAATTCATTTCTGTGTTCCTGATACGGGAATGAAAATATAAATAAAATATGACCCCAGACTTCAAGGAGCTCAGTCCGGTCAGGAACACAAAGTATATAATCTGGCAACATGACGGCAGAAAAAAGGAGTAGAAAAAGTGGCAATGCTTTGTGGGCAATGATGATACAGACACAACATGTTTCAGCTGAGCTTTGAGTAAGACCAGAAAACTCTCAAAAGGCCACAGGTGAGGAAAATGGGGGTGGTGAGGTATCCTTCTTGAAATATAGTTTTTTTTAATAACCAGTCATAGTATCTTTCTGAATATAAAAAAAAAATCCAAGAAATTAAACTTAGTTGTGAAGGCCAAGGTCATGTGTCATTTCCTTAGGCTTTGCAGCATACGGCGACATTTGCAGAGGGGACTCAAGTGATCATGAGACCCGGGAGCTCCTTCAGAACTGCAGGCATTTCTGCAGAGAAGCGTAGCCTCAGAGGACCACTACTCTACCCAATATACGTTAAATATGACAGGAACTAGTTGTAATCCCTGCGAGTGATGTTGAATCTCAAAGTTACAGCCGAAAGGAAAAACAGAGCCTGGACATGTCAGCAGTAGGTTCTGAGAAAACAGAGCAGATCTTACAATTGAAGGGACATAGTTGTCCCTTTGTTATGCTCAGCCAAGGTGAAGCAGAGTTGAGCCGGAATCCTGGCTCAGACCCCAGGTGGGACACTCAGCATGTACCTTGACCCCTCTGAACCAGTTCTAATGGCATTTACCTCCTAGGACTGCTCGGACACTAAACAAGATAAGGTACCTGTGATTAGTTTCTTTCTTCTACGAAAGCTAGAAATGGAAGCTACAGTGACAAAGTAAGGTTGCTACATTTATTGTGAACCTCAATATGTAGTAGTCAAGATTTTACTGTGATTATTTTAGGCCTGGTGACACAAAGCTAGGCAGAGCATAAACTGTATACAGTTGACCCTTGAACAATGCAGGATTGGGGCACCAAACCCCCCACACACAGTTTAAACTATAACCTTTGACTTCCCGAAAACTTAACTACTAATAGCCTACTGTTGACTAGGAGCCTTACTGATAACATAAAACATCGACTCACCCATTTTATGTTATATATATTATATACTATGTTCTTACTTTAAATAAACTAGAGAAAAAAAAATGCTGTTAAGAAAATCACAAGGCAGTGGCTCGACTCACCCATTTTATATGTTATATATATTATATACTATGTTCTTACTTTAAATAAGCTAGAGAAAAAAAAAATACTGTTAAGAAAATCACAAGGTAGTGGCGTGCCTAGGCGTCTCAGATGGTTAGCCTCTGCCTTCGGCTGGGGTCACAATCCCAGGGTCTTGGGATCAAGCCCCGAGTTGGGCTCCCTGCTTGGGGGGGAGCCTGCTTCCCCCTCTCTCTCTGCCTGCTGCTCTGCCTACTTGTGCACTCTCTCTCTGTGTCAAATAAATAAAAACCTTTAAAAAAAAAAAAAGGAAAAAGAAAATCACAAGGCAGAGAAAATACATTTACACAACTATACTGTATTTATTTAAAAAAATGCACTTACAAGTGAAACCATGGAGTTCCAACCTAAGTTGTTCAAGTGTCCACTGCACATTTTTCAAATTAAACATGAATTATTACAATGAGAAGACATTCTGGAAAAGTTAAAACTGGAGACAGAGATTTGTAGAGAAACAGGGACAGATAGGCAGAACACGGCTCTGTGTGATACTATAATGGTGGCTACCTGTCATTATACATTTGCCAAAACTCAGGGAATTTATAACACCAAAAGCAAGCCGGAGAGAAAACAGTGAACTTTGGGAGATAATGACACGTCGAGTTAGGTTCCTCCACTGTGACAACTGTCCCACTTGGGCGGGATGCTGATGGTTGGGAGAGACTGCGTGTGGGGACAGGGAGTATATGGGAAATCTCAGAACCTTCAGATCAGTTTTGCTGTGAGCCTAAAACTGGTCTAAAAAATATAGTCTACTTTACTCTGAAACTAATAATACATTATAAGTTCATTAATTGATTTAAATTAAATTTAAAAAAAAGATTCACATCTCCTTGTGTTCTGCACTCAAGGGGTAGTGGGTGGAGCCAAGTTGGCACACACACACACACACACACACACACACACACACACACACAGTCTACTTAAAAAAAATAGATATGACTTAACCCAAATGAAGGAAACTGAGGCACAGAGGAACCATGGTTTTCCTGGGCCTTGGAGCCAACTTGGCTCCACCCACTACCCCTTGAGTGCAGAACACAGGGAGATGTGAGCTGGTGCGGGAAGCTCTTTTTGAATTATATCATCACAAACCCTCCAGCCCCAGAGCAATCCCTTTCCAAGTGACCTTCCCATCTTTTGACCCATGAGTCAAGGACCAAGTGAATCTGAAAATCAATGAGAAAACTTCTGGATTTTGTAGCCTGAGAACTTTATGACATGTGAAAAGAAGCAGATGGGTTAGCTTTGCTTCCCTAAGGGGGATCCCACCTTCTCTGGCATTCAGCAAAGACTACCTGCGAGCAGAGAAAGGTTTGCCTGTAACCCAGGGAAAGACGATCACTCGGAGAAGGGACCCCGATGCTCACAGAATGCATGAGCTTTCATCCCGGGAGACTCCTGTGCTGGTCATCCTTGCGCTTGAAGACTGCTCGATGCAAACTAGATTAAACATTCAGAAACATGTTGTTTATTAAAAGCGCAACTGGAGGAAGAAGTAAATGCTAAAACAATTCTATGAAGTCAGAGGTGTTCAATGAGGAAATACATTCAGGGTCTTGTGAAATTCGGCCAAGGAAGTTGGTGCAAATCACAACAAGGAAGTGGCCACATGCCCGGGGTTGGGCCCAGAAGCAGGTATATAAGGGTCCGTGAAGCACAGAGCACCAGACCTCCCTCACCTCCTGAGTCTACCTCCTCACCTCTCCTGAGTCCTTACTCTCCTGACACCATGGGGTGCTGTGGCTGTGGAAGTTGTGGTGGCTGCGGTGGCTGCAGCAGTGGCTGCGGTGGCTGCGGCGGTGGCTGTGGTGGCTGTGGCGGCTGTGGCGGCTGCGGTGGCGGCTGTGGCAGCTGCACCACCTGCAGGTGCTACCGTGTGGGCTGCTGCTCCGCCTGCTGCCCCTGCTGCTGCGGCTGCTGCGGGGGCTGCTGCAGTACCCCCGTGGTCTGCTGCTGCCGCCGCTCCTGTGGCTCATGTGGCTGTGGCTCGTGTGGCTGTGGCTCATGTGGCTGCGGCGGTGGGAAGGGCTGTTGCCAGCAGAAGTGCTGTTGCCAGCAGAAGTGCTGTTGCAAGAAGCAATGCTGCTGCTAGGCGGCCAGTCAGCTCTGCCTCTAGCGTGAGGGATATCTGGGGCTTTGCTCACTGCATTTCATAAGACCTTCCTCCATCCCTCCTGCCTGCTTGCTGCTGCCCTATTACTTTGATGTCTTAGAGCTGCTCATTCTGTCCTTGTGCTCTGAGTTTTAGGGCTGATTCTTCCCCTTCAGTGTGCTAGCATGGTGACACCAATATCTTCTCACTGTATTTTCCAGAAGGTAACATCCAGCAGGTAACTATTCTCTGTCATCTTTGAAATCTTGATAAAGATTTGATAAATCTTGATAAAGATAAAGGAGCACTGTATATCGTCAGCCTTAGGGAGTGGGAACACGGGCACCCAGGTCAAACATCTATTTATATTATAAGCTTGATAAAATAAAATCATGATAGTTAATATTTCATTTTCTTCAAAAAATTACTTATGATGAGCATTTCTATTGTACATTCACTAACTTCTTTCCATTTCTATGTCTCTGTAAAAAAAAAGGTAATTCTTAATAAAAAAATTATTCACATTATTCTAATGTGTCTCTCTGTTCTATAAGATGTGTACCCTCCCATGACTGAGGTCAATGGAGGAGGAGACAAATGGTGATATTTAAAGACTTGGGGTAGGCTTCAGTTCATGGGTGATTGGTCCTATACTGTGCTATAGTGGGTTTTACAATAAAGATAGAAATTGGGGTGGGGCAGATAGAACCCCAACTTTCGGTTGTTGTGTCATTGAGGGAAATTCCTGGCTCTCTTACACATGTCTTCCTGATATCTGTGTCTGCAGCTGAATTCTGGTTGTAAGTGTTGGGCAACCCTACATGACAGATCACGTTTCACTCCATTGCTCTGTACATTTCACTCACTCATTCATTCACTCAGCAGATATGTAAGTGCTGTGTTAGGTATGAAGCCAAGCACCAGGGATCTAAAGAAGAACAAGCCTTTGAAGTTGATGTCTGAGAGGGAGAGTCAATTACAAAACAGCATTCTATGCCAGGCTCCTTTGGTCACCCTTTCTCCACTCCTTGTCAATGAGTCAAATAGATTTTTGTGTACATCACTGTACACAACTGAGTGTACAGCTGAGTACCACCATAAGAGACACTCAATTCATTTGCTGGGTAAGAAAACCAAGTGAGTGGTTGACATTTTCCACAGGGCTTTTTTCCCTGTTTCCCATTGCATTTGACACAAATGAGCACCTGTCTTCCCTAATAAACTTTCATTCTCTTCCTAGTGACTCCCTCTCATCCTCTGTGTGTTTGCCCATTGTGGACACCCCAGTGCCTGACACTAGTCCTCTCCTCCATTTTCTATATCCTCATCTGATCTCTACTCTGTCTTCTTTTTCTTTTTTTCTTTTCCATAGCACCTAACACTTTCCAACATACCATAAAATTCTGGAATTTATCATGTTGACCCCATGGTATCCCCTCTGTCTCATCCCATGCACAAATGTACATTCTGCAAAGCAAAGATTTCTCACTCTTTTGTTCACTGAAAGTATCTCAAGCACCTCGAACAGCATCTGGCACATAATATATACCCAATAAATTGCTGCTTTTCTTTTTTAAGAATTTATTTATTTATTTATTTGAGAGAAGAGAGAGAGTGGGGTGGGTGGGGAGGGGCAGAAGGAAAGGGACAAACAGACTCTCTGCTGAACAGAGAGCCCAGCTTGGGGCTTGATCCTATGATCCCAAGATCTTGACCTCAGCCAAAGGCAGACACTTAATTGACTGAGCCACCCAGGTGCCCATAAATAGCTTTTTTTTTTTTTTAGATTTTATTTATTTATTTGACGGAGATCACAAGTAGGCAGAGGGAAAGGGAGGGGGAGGGGAGCAGGCTCCCTGTTGAGCAGAGAGCCCAATGCAGGGCTCGATCCCAGGACACTGGGATCATGACCTGAGCTGAAGGCAGAGGCTTAACCCACTGAGCCACCCAGGCGCCCCCATAAATAGTTTCTTCATGAATAAGTGATTTTGTAAACTTTTTTTTTTTTAATTATGAAACATGCCAAATATAAACAGAAGTGGAGAATATAGTACAACACCGTCTTAGGAACCATCACCCAAGTCAACAATTATCAACATGACCAGTCTCTTATCATCTATGACCTCATCTATACCCCTCCCAATAGTGGATAATACATAATGAAATCCAGACCTCTTGTTACTTAATCAGCAAATACGTTTACATTCCTTCAAGTAAATGAATTCCTCATCATCTCTCTCTGATTTAGACTATGGCCAAGGGCTCTCAGAGAAATACAGAAGGAAACTCAAGGTCCAAAATGAGCTCCTCTCTTCGCAGAGGAAATGGTGACACCCTGGACCTTTAAGAAAATTCCGGTGTCCTCTGGGAAGGCCTGTCAGTCAACATTCAAGGGCACTCTGTTGCACAATGAGCAGGGTACTCCCACTCCCAGTGGGTAGCCCGGTAATTTATAAATCAATTTTCTGCAAATCATAGGAAGGTGAAAATAGAAAATCCAAGCCAAAAACGGAACAGTGACCCAAAAACACATGGGAGACTTGTAATCAATTTCACTTCCAGTCAGAGTACTAGAAACCAAACAGTATTTATCTTTGGGGAGGGCTTTCCATTTACCGACAGATAATGAAAAAGATTTTTGTTTTTGTTTTTTTCCCCCATTTTAATCAATGAGAACTTCATAATGCTTTTTTTTTTTTAAACCACCTCTGCCTAACAAAAACTTTTTAATAGTTGAACTATTTGTGTTGGAAAATTCTCAAAGCATAAGAAAACTATGCCACCTCACAACCTTAAAAATAAAATAATAAAATAAGATAAAACAAAACAAAACAAAATAAAAACACAGTGACTATAAACATTAACTCTGGAGCCAGGATGCCCCAACAAAAATCCAGACTTCTCCATTCACTAGCCCCACTGCTTTCTGCCTCACTTCAGCGCAGGATGGGCATCTTAACTGTGCCTCTTATAAGTTTTGGGGAAAAGTAAATGGATTTATAGGCAAGGACATATTTATAAATAGATGCACACTGCATTCAGTTCATGCTGCTTTGTTACATTGATATGTCAGGCTATTACTGTAAGTTGCTCCTTTCGGGTTCCAATACCTGGGGGACCAGGTAAGCTTTTGTCCGCAGATCTCAGATTTCCTCCTCTGAGTTAAAAGGTTCGGGAGGCCTCTAGTTAGCATATGCAAAACGTCGGGGCGGGGCCTCGGAACTCGGTATGTGGCAGTCTCCCGCCCCCGCCCCTACAGTCAGCGCCAAGCTTCACCCGGTGGGTCGGCCGAGGGGTCCTGTCCCGGGGGCTTGTTCTCTGGGGATGTGAGCGATCTGGCGACCAGACACCCCCTCCTCTAGGTAAGACTAGCTGCGGGAGGCGAATTTCTGGCAGAAACACCATCACCCCTGGGCTGCAGCACTCCTCTGTCTTCCAGTTTCCGCGGCGCGGGCGGGACGAGTACCTGCGCGGCAGTGGACAGGTTGGGACCGGCCTGGATTCCATCGCGGGCCCTGGGCGACGTCGCGCTGAGGCCCCTGTGCTCTCCTGCCTGCGCGGTGCTGAGGCTCCCCAACTAGGTCTGCGAGAATCTCACTTTCAGCCATCTGCCAAGCCAATTAAATGAGACCACGACCCCGGTAAATGGCCAGCATCCCCCATCGTTATTCCCACATGCACAGCTTCTAACTGAAAGGAAACGAGCGCAGAATTCTAGATCCCAACCCAAGAACGGAGAAAAAGGCCCCAGTGAGAAAAATGGGACCTGGAAATGAGGGGACATGAGACTCTATTTAGAGACTAGGTTAGTTGAGATTAAAGGAAAACACAACCATATCTTACAATAATATTTCTGGGAAGGATACCTAATTATTTGTCAAGTCAGGATTGCGCTATAAATGTGCAATAGATGTGAGGATTTGGATTACTTAAAGTTTGAAAAGAAAATGTTCTCTACAAATATTCATACAGAACTGTCTCTGCTGCTATCAAGACTGGAACACATTTGTATCTCCTAAGGCAAAAGTGTGTTTTCATCAAGGTACATATTTTATTAATTTTTTTATTTTTTAAAGATTTTATTTATTTATTTATTTATTTTTATTTGACAGAGATCACAAGTAGGCAGAGACAGGCAGAGAGAAAGGAAGGGAAGCAGGCTCCTTGCTGAGCAGAGAGTCCGATGCAGGGCTCCATCCGTGGACCCTGGGATCACGACCTGAGCCGAAGGCAGAGGCTTTAACCCACTGAGCCACCCAGGTGCCCCAAGGTACATATTTTAAATAGAACCAAACATAACTAACTTCTGAATATGTTTTTCTTCACACTGCCTTGGAAGTAGCTGAAATGAACAAAAATACTAGGTTTGCTCAGTCATTATTGTTCAGAGATTATCAATGGTTTCTAAAAGTTGGGTAATTCAAGGATAAATATTTAAATGAATTTAGGCGAAGTTACTTACTGTGTCTGTTTTCTGAAATTACACTCTCTGATCTATGAGTGCCCAGCTGTGTTCATTCTGGTTGAATTTGCTATGTGTGTTTACAGGAAGCAGATGGGAAGGAAGCTTTATTGAGCAGCTGCTATGTGCCTAGAACGAAACTGAGCAGTTCCTGAACAACCTCATGAGGTGGATGTGGTTGTCCACATTTGTTTCTTTTTTAATATTTGAGAGAGAGAGAAAGAGAGTGCACAAGTGGG